ATTATATACAAAGTGCTTTAATTTCAGGAAGGTGTACTAACATCTTTTCAGGTAATTGTTTCTATCTGAAAAGAAACCTAATCAAATATAAAATAGCACTGTATAGTTTATCATAGATAGAATAATGCTTATTAAATCTAAAGTTACTCATTCAAAAGCTGTGAGGGATTTTCTCTGGCTTTGGTTGTTTGATTTACATTAATGGCTGAATCGTCAGCAGGTTTAGGCTATTAGACTGCTGCAGTGGTGTAGTGCAGGGTATACGCAGGTATACGGCGTATACCCACTTCCTTTTCAGTCGGCATTGCGTATACCCACCAGTGATGCGCGGGTTGATCCGAAATGAGCGGGTGCCTGCGGTCACCCGCGGTTACCCGCAGTTACGGGTCATCCAAAAATGTTTTTAATGATATTCGGGTCGCGGTCGGTCGGGTCGTTTGAAAAAAGATGCCAAAACATTTGTATTAATATAGTAGGCTACTAGACACAATTTTTGATGAAATATACAGCCCTACACACTATTGGCTGAATAACTGGCACGAAGATAACACACAATCTCAGTCGAAACAGTTCTCGGTTCTGTACTGGTGATTCGAGAACCGCTGTCCCTGTGCGTTCGGTAGTCCACAGTATCAGCTGCTCGTGCTCATCACTTCTCTCAACAGTGGCACCAACATGGCTCGGTTACTGGAGTAAAATATAATTCAGGATATTGATTTATTTCGATTCGTAGGCGACCGTCAGGCATGTCTGAAAGTGAGTAACTTTAGTAACTTGTGGATCAGCACTGACGCAAGACGTGAACTGTTTCGAACGATTCAGTTCGATTTAGTGTACTACTGGTTCGACCGGTTCAATAAAAAGAGCCGGTTCAAAAGAACGATTCTTTCACGAACCGGCCATGTCTATGATCACTACAGTCTGCAGAGAGATGGAGGCGGCAAGAGAAAAGGTGAAGACTGGGGAGTGGAAGCAGCGCAAATACACAAATAGAAAGAGTAAAAGTGTGGGAGACATTTGCTGAAATAATGAAAGCTGATGACCAAAGTGCTGGCTTTGTTATGTGTAGGCCTACGTCTTCTTGCGATGCTGTGTTGTTACATGTCTATGGCCCAATAACGCTCCGATGAGCATTTACTACTTTTAAAAAATGCGGCCAGGAAGCGGGTCGGGTACAATATTTTTTTACTTTTTTTTGCGGTCCGAGTTGCAGGCGGGTAGTTGAAAACGTCGGTCGGTTGCGGGTTGTTTATACATTGACCCGCGCATCACTGATACCCACTTCTAAATCCCCTCTGATGCGCATTGCGCATCATTTAGTTGCTAATCCAATTTCGTGAATAAAAAAAACACCCAGTTAGAGTCATACCCGTTAACTCTAATTTGTTGCTGCAATGATTCTCCCATCGTGACGATAACTGACCTTCTCATCTGATATGCTTCAGCACTCACCTGCTCGTCAATATCAAAATGTTCGTGAGAGCAATCAAAGAATGCAGAATGCAGTTCATAGAAGCGCGAGCCGAGCGCGAATCCCAACGCGACGCTTCACTTCAGTTAACGACAGTCAGTGCGAGATAAGATGCAAGTAGCTCAAATTTACGGCTGTTTTTCAATAGACGCTTTAAATGACCGACAGAAATAATCAGTTTGATTAAAGGCAGTGGAAATTATAAGCTCAATTTAACAACACAAGCACCCTATTAAATATATTGCCATTATTATTGTATAAATATATTTGTATAGCGTTTTTTCGAATGTGTTTGAGTTTTCACTGCTTGTATAACTCCGCTTGTTTGCGCTACTTGCATAAGCCAGAGGGTGGCGACAAGTGACTGTCTTTTCGAGTGAGCAATTGAACCATTAATTAAATTAACAGATTAGTCCAAAAAACATTGATTCATTTAGGAAAGAAAAGTCGCTGAAACTGGAACTGATTCTCATGTTTAGGAATCTGATCAAATAGGCTACTTCATGCTTTTACAGCTATTGTAGTCAATTTTGTTGGCCATCAAAACACCTTAAAATGCTCATTTCGAGATCAGGAAAATCAAAATTTTCTCGGGGGGGGGGGGGGGGGGGCATGCCCCCAACCCCCCTAACAATAGAATTTATGGGACCTGGCAGGCACCTGGGTATTTACAAAACCATATGTGCGGCCCTGATACTACTGATTCTATGTGTTGTATTCATTATACTCTATTCTATAGTCTTGCATATTGAATACTAATGCAAGACTAGTAGTCTTACATGTCACTGTTTATAAGACAGGGCGTTCATCCTTTGCTGGGACGCTTAAAAAAATATTGGGGGCATAAATTAAGAGTATACCCACTTCTCCAGGCACCACTACATCACTGGACTGCTGCCCCTTTAAGACCGATTGCAGATCTAATGGGGACTGATGCACCATCATTTTCTCCCTATTATTTACGTCCATTTAAGACATAATTGTGTTTAAGTGAATCTCAGAGCTGGTCATTTTGACATTTTTATGTATATTTGATAGTTAAGGACGCACGAGCCCGTATAGGCAGTCCCTTTCGGAGCGCGCACCGCCTTGTGAACAGCGTCTCTTGCGCAGGTTTTTGTGTTTTTAATAGCCATTTTTTTTATCTTGCAACAGTAGAAGACAGCATTTTGCAACAATCGCTGATCGTGCTGATTCTGACGGTTACGTTTGGGTTTTAGGAAGAAGAAGAACTGACAGCGCTCCGCAGTGCCGTGAAGTAAAGGAAGTTAAGCTGGACAGATCGTCTCGTTTTTTTAACGGTTTTATCTCAAATATCTTCTTTTTATAATCTTTGGAAGCCAAAATACAAAATATATTAGAATAATATCCCAGATCTAAAGTGTAACCACGTTGAATGTTAGTCCTGTCCTCATTGTCACTCATTAAGCAGGGCTGTCGTGTTGCGCGTGCTGTGGCTTTGCGTGAGAGATCGCTCTCTCTCTCTTCTCTCTCTCTCTTCTGAACTGCGAATTGCAAATTTGCATCACAGACTATGGTTTAATTAAAATATAGCTTATATATAGAAATGGCTGGCGAAACATGTTCAAGATAACTTCTTTATAGGAATAATAAATAGTAGCCCAACTTATGTGTATTTACTTAATTTCTCCAGTACCGACAGCAGAACCGATAACGTCCGAGCTTATCGATACAGCGGTCTTTCAAAATTCAGTACCGGGGCCCGTTTAATACCGGGTTTCGGTACCCATCCCTAATGGCGAGAGACAACTAATCTTTTTATTCCATCTGAATTGTGCCCTGAATTACACATATGATGTTTGTCAATTTAAAAGATAATTATGAAAGTCAAAAATGTCGCAGTTTGTCATAAAACAGAAGAGTAACATATAGTTTTATGTAAAAATCGCTCAATGAACTACATCTCCTGGGAAGCGAAACAACGAGCAAGATCCGCTGCTCATGTGTGTGCAGTCTGGTACACTCAGGCATGACGGCGTAACGTTATATAACGTTTATAATTATAACGTGAGACTATAGAAACAATGACAGACATTAGCCTCAGTAAAGTTAGCTTCATTCATTGAGAGAAAATGTGCACCTTTGGGGTTTGTAGTCTTTGTAATTATGTATTTTCACAGTCTTATACCTCACAGTTTCACATCAAACTGCGACTTTCTTTATTTTAAAATGCATCTTTTAAATTGACAAACATCATATGTGTAATTCAGGGCACAATTGAAACGAGATCAAAATGTTTGTTGTCTCTCGCCACTGACTACCATTCAATATTTTTCCGAAATAAGGTCCCATGGTGGTCGACCGGAAGGGGGAGAGACTTAGGCTCTCTAAACTTAAGGAGTATATCTTTCTTTTGTATCCCATGGAACAAATAACAACATCAGAGGATGAGAAAATCACAGAATTTACATTTTTAGGTGAACTATCCCTTTAAGGCACACTGCGGCACTTTTGAAGAGAACCGTTTGCAGCAAAAGGGAGTATTTGGAGTGTGAGTCATGTGACTTTTGTTGAGCACTGCATCAGGGACCAGCATTGCCCACAAGCGACCACTGGCACTTTCTCTCTCTCACCAGCAATCTTGCAACCAGTCGGCCTCCTTATTCTTGCTCTCCTCTTTCTCTCCCCTAGCCCCCGCTCTTTATCTCCCTGTGTGCTGTGCAGCCAGTGAGGAGTCTTGCATGCCTAATTTGAGTTAACGATGCCAAGGCTCATCCAGGCCTGAGGCTCCAGCAGGAGAGCAGGAGGAACAGCTGTGGCCAGGCTGAGGCAGCATATCTCTCAACATTTCTCCTTCATTCTGTCTCCCCGCTCATCCTGACATGTGTGCCCACAGCAGCCTCGACTGCAGCACAGCCTAATGACGTTTTCTACGCGAGGAAACCATCTCAACGGGGCTCGGAAGAGCTGGAGAAGTCAGGAGAGAGTAGCGGCTTGACGAGCAATCTTGAAATAGAAGCGGAGAAGGGCAAAAAAAATCATCCTAGATTAAGAAGGAGACAGGCAGTGAGAGGGAGAGAGATAGAAGGGAACAGATTTAAGACTGCGGGGAACTCGAGGCAAGGAAAATCCAGCAGCAGAAATTAAGCAGCTTAAAGTAACTGCTCGCTAAAGCTTAATTCTGACGAGAGGGTCCTCGCACGGTCTCATGCAAGAGGTTGCGCGGGCTGTAAAGGATAAGAGAAGACAGGCTGACAGGGAACAGAGACTGTGATGTGGATTGGGACAGAGAGAGAGAGAGAGAGAGAGAGAGGGAGAAAAGAGTGGGCTGTTTCATAAGGTTGACATCTCTCTGATGAGTTTTGTGCTGACAAAAAAATGTGTCAGCACAGCCATCTCTGAGCCACCGTGCTTCACCTCTGTATGGCAAGAAAGTCATAATTTGAGCAAAAGAAGCTTTATTCAGGCTTGGTGTTACAAATTTAACCTGATGACAGGGGTTTAAGCTCATTGGGAAAGTTTAAATAAGAATTTGGCTTCTTTAACTTCATTCTTCTTGTCTCTGCAGGAAGCATCAACCGAACTGGGGGTGTCCCTACATTTCTGCGGACCCCCACCGTCATCCAGCCTCATCTGGATATGAAGCCCTTCCTACAGTTTCAAATGGAGACCAATCCTCCACACAGCGTTGGGCTTTTCCACAACTTCAACGCGGTGAGATTATGCATCTGAAACATCGCTATTGACAGTGTTGCATTATTGCATGCTTTCCGGCCAAAAAAAAAAGAAAAAGTTGCTGTTTGGATTTAAATAGGCAAATACTTAAAGCTGCACTCCGTAACTTTTTTGGGTTAAAAATTATATTAAATACATTTTTTGAGCAAGTACATAACTAGCCATAACTTGTTCAAAACTACAGCATCTGCTTGCTGTAGCTTGATTCAAAACGGTAATTTTGTAATGTTTTTAACTCCAGTGGCACCGGTGGATTTCCGTGGGAAATTCTAGAATGACTTTGCGTCATTACGTCACATCTGTACACATAAAGAAAGAGTATCGGCTAGTCGGCTATATTGCGAGTGAGGATGTTGGAGGTTGGAGGCATTTCTGTGTGCCATTACAGAAATAAATAATATTTAAAAATATATTCAAATAGAAAATGGTCATTTTAAATTATGTTTTACAATATTTTGTTTTTTACCGTTTTTTAATCAAATAAAGGTAGCTTTGTAATAAGCAGAAGTAATAAACTGTGTTTGACCCAGTATTTTAGCCTTCAGAACTGCCTTTATTCTACGTGGCATTGATTCAACAAGGTGCTGAAAGCATTCTTTAGAAATGTTTGCACATATTGATAGAATAGCATCTTGCAGTTGATGGAGATTTCTGGGATGAACATCCAGGGCACGAATCTCCCGTCCCACCACATCCCAAATATGCTCTATTGGGTTGAGATCTGGTGACTGTGGGGGGCATTTTAGTGCAGTGAACTCATTGTCATGTTCAAGAAACCAATTTGAAATGATTCGTGCTTTGTGACTTGGTGTATTATCCTGCTGGAAGTATCCATCAAATAATGGACTTATGGTGGCCATAAAGGGATGGAGATGGTCAGAAACAATGCTCAGTTAGGCTGTGGCATTTAAACGATGACCAATTGGCACTAAGGGGCCTAAAATGTGCCAAGAAAACATCCCCCACACCATTACAACACCACCACTAGCCTGCACAGTGGTAACAAGACATGATGGATCCATGTTCTCATTCTGTATACATCAAATTCTGACTCTACCATCTGAATGTCTCAACAGAAATCGAGACTCATCAGACCAGGCAACATTTTTCCAGTCTTCAACTGTCCAATTTTGGTGAGCTCTTGCAAATTGTAGCCTCTTTTTCCTATTTATAGTGGAGATAAGTGGTACTCATCTATTCTATCAGTTTATTCTATCTATTCTATTCTATCAGCTTGAATCAGTCGGCCCATTCTCCTCTGACCTCTAGCATCAACAAGGCATTTTCGCCCACAGGACTGCCGCATACTGGATGTTTTTCCCTTTTCACACCATTCCTTGTAAACCCTAGAAATGGTTGTGCGTGAAAATCCCAGTAACTGAGCAGATTGTGAAATACTCAGACCGGCCCGTCTGGCACCAACAAACATGCCACACTCAAAATTGCTTAAATCAGCTTTCTTTCCCATTCTGACATTCAGTTTGGAGTTCAGGACATTGTCTTGACCAGGACCACACCCCTAAATGCATTGAAGCAACAGCCATGTGATTGGTTGATTAGATAATTTCATTAATGAGAAATTAAACAGGTGTTCCTAAAAATCCTTTAGATGAGTGTATATAAAAAAAGAAAATTGTTTTTATTTTTTCAAACATAAATTAATAAATAAAAAGATGATATTGCTTTGCAGGAGCAATATCAAAAGTATGGTCATTTTCATGTCAAATAAGTGTTATGATTATTATTTTCATCTGTGGAAAACAAACAGGAAAAAGTAAAGATGATGATTTTAACTTTCAAAATCCTCAAAGCAAAAAAGTATTAAAGATTTCGGTTGCACTTTATTTTATAGTACGTGTACCGTGTAGGTAACTACATGGGTTAAGGTTAGGTTTGTCTGGTGTTTTAGGTTAATCTGGTCTATTCATTTTACAATGAATTTGCATCTGATTACATAAAGATAACCTTAAATATTAAACCACTCAGTCGATTTATGATAGCTGGCTTGTTTGCCTTTTGAATTTTCCTGACTGACTTCCATTAGACAGTGTAATGCTGTATGAGTTCTCTCGTGTCACTGTGACTTATAGCTAATCATTTTGATTAGCATGCAGCAGCTCATTTCACTCTCTCAGCACTTTTACTCAGAGTCTGTTCCGCACATTTCACAGATTGCATTCTGTTATGTAAATGAGGATGCTGGTCAGCGAATTGGACAGGAAAGGTTGTGGGATCCAGCCATCCTCGAGGTGTCCGTCATATGTATTCACTCTCTTAAATTTCCCTGCACTTGTTCCCATGTGAAAGATGGCGTGCCTTTTGGCACAGTCTCGTGACACTGAGAAGGAAAGAACACTCTACCCATGCCAGCTCAATAAATCCACATCACATGTGGTAGCCTTCCAATTCTGCCACATTATCTTCTTTTCAAGCCAAGGGATGTTTAAATGTTTTTAAATATGCATGAGCTTGTGAAAGAATCAGCATCTAAGAGCTTAACTACTGTCTCTTGTACTTTGGCCATTTATTATATTCAGACACTGAGCTGTAATCTTTCGATTGAGGCAGTTTTAGCATTGCAGCAGGCTATTAATCACAACAGTTAAAAGCTCAATGTGAGAGTGACCGGGTGTCTGGCGGTGAAATAATCCTGACGCCCATTAGGGGGCGATGTTGGAGTGGCTGGAAGGACAGGCTGACCTCTCTCTAGGACACTGCTGAAAGCACACTGCAGTGTTTAGGCTATCGCCTAATGGAATACTGACAAACAAAAAAGACCCCTTACACAAGTTGTAATACATAGGCTTTTACTGAGATATTTATATAATCTTCGGCAAATGCGTGCGTGTGTGTGTGTGTGTGTGTATATATATATATAGTTTCATTCTGGGATTATTTTCTACTATTTATTTATTTAGCAGAATTTTCAATAAGTAAATTGGAACTTAAAAAAAATTACATGGTGTACAAATAATACATTTTGCTCAACTTTGGTCAGATTCATAAAAAGGATTCACTGATTCAAGTTTTTTTTTGACAAGGTGGCTTTACTATACTTTTAATAAAAATGTATTCAAGTTTACTGTCACATGCTGAGAATATTCAACGCTATCTCACGACCAATTACTAATTCGTACGAGGGATTAAAAAAGTGGCTAATTCATACTACCTCACTCGCAGGGCCTGAAGTTAATTTTTTCGGCTGTTAATTTAAAAATTCACCTGCCAAAGAGACTTTTTACCAGCCTTTTTTTTTTTTTTTTTGCCTCATAAACGTAAAAAAAAAAAAAAAACAGGAATTTCACAATATTATTCTTTAACTTGCAAGAATACACATTTAAGTGCTGTCAAGTAATAATAACTCTAATAACATACTTTTTTTTTTAAAAATATATTTTTATTCCTTGATTTTGACAGACACACACACACAACATAGTATAGGCTATAATATAGTATATACTCAACAGATACCTACCGCAGCTCGTAAACAAATCACACGCGGCTGTGTTGATGGCGGATTTAGTCACGTAGGTCTTACTCTTAACAGCTTTTAGTTACAGCGTTCAGGAACGGTTAAATATGAACTAAATTGATACTGTTATTACTGATAAAATTACCGGGTACCGGACATTTTCTCACCGGTTTCCAACTCCCAACATGCACAGTTGCACACGCACACACATCTGTGCAACTGTCATTGTACTTTAACCTACAACAGCGACGCGTTACATTATCTCATCCCATCTCACCAACAGTTTAATACTCGCACACGTAGTCAGAAAAAGAGCCTCATCTTCTTTCTGATCACATGAACGTTACGAAACAACAGTCGCTGTCATAAATCAGCCGCTCACGAACCTTGCCATTGCCGCCGATTGTTCACTTTGTATTAAAATGTCTTCTTTACTTTTCTTTTTCTCATCCTCATCTTTTTGTTGGCTGTTTTGTTTCAGCTGGCCTCTTTACCCCAGTAATGTGCCGCCACATTTTAGCTAAAGTCAAACGCAATAGCGGACTTCGTTGAAATGTAAAAATCCTAATGAATCACTCACAATTCTCATTGGCTACCTGCCAATGTGGCAGGTAGATTGACAGTGTTACCCGCCAATAGCAAAATTCACCCGCATTTGGCAGGTGGTCGGGTGTTAATTTCAGGCCCTGCTCACTCGTACGAATTCGTACAATTTGTCTAAACCCACGTGTTGGGTAGGTTCAGGGGCAGGGACAGGGGTAGGTAATTCGTACGAATTCATATGAATTGGCCAATTCGTAAAATATGTACGATTTAGCAAAAATCATACTAATTCATACGAGTGAGCTTGTACGAATTGTTACGAATTAGCCACCTCGTAAAATTCGTACGAATTCCCGTGAGATCGGGTTGGAATATTTGTTTCAAAAAGGGCTCTGATTAAATGATAAATGATATTCTTAAATAATTATGTTTTAGTATAAAATCAAACTGTGTAACTTTATTGTAATTAGTTACTATTTGTTTGCACAAACTACTTTCAAATTCTCTAAATTATGATTGGCTTGGTTTGGCAAGCTACAGTTTCAAAGAAGCTTCCCCAACACTGCTTATAAACAGAAGATTTGTTGGCTGCATGTGCTCAAGTTGTTCCGTCTGGAATCACATTCATGTTGGAATGCAACAACCTTGATCAAAGCTGATAAAGCTGTCATTTTTTTGAATGTGTGTTTGGCCAAATAATCATTTAGCTGTGTTCACTTCACCAATATCAGATGCTTTTGGTCAGCAGTAGATAGAGCTGGGACGGACCACAATCTTCCATTCCTTCAGTCCAGCTGTAATTTTCTTTAATGTGATTTGGCCTTGTATGCCTGAGTCAATTTGCCTGCAGGCAGTGAGGCACCTGAATCATTTATACCAAGCAGCTGGCTGTGGCATGAAGGTGCAGAAAAGCTCCCCCAGGCACGCTTATTCTGCAGAATCAGGAATTTCGTAGGCGTTAAAT